CTCTGATATTTAGGTGCATCACTTTTATTGTTTCACTCTGATATNTGCATCACTCTGATATTTAGGCGCATCACTTTGATTGTTTGACTCTGATATTTAGGGGCATTACTCTCATGTGTTCGATCTTGCCAGTCAGACATAAGACTTGCCAATAAGATAAGTTCCTTAAAATAACAGAGGCCGTATATTTCTAGAAATTTTCATAAAATACATACAATTCACAGATTGCATTTTGAGAGCACCACTCTGATGTTCGGGATCATCACTCTAGGGTATAGGGGACCTCAGTCTTGCTCTCACTCTGATATTTAGGGGCATCACCCTGTAATGTATTTGGGCATCACTCTGATATTAAGGGTGCATCACGCTAGCATTAAGGGGCATCAGTGTGATATATATCGGCATCACTTCTGATATTTTGGGGCACCTCTGATGTATAGAGTAAATGTCACTCTAGCATGAAAGGGCATAACCCTTCTATTTAGTGGGCTTAGAAAGGGTATCACTCTGATGTAAAAAGGCATCACCCTGAAATTTAGGGGGCATCACCATGTTATTTAGGGGGTATTACTGTGATGTATATGGACATCGCTCTGATATTCAGAGGCATCAAACTAGCATTTAGGGGGTATAACTGATGGGCCATCACTCGAATGTATGAAGGCATCACTCTGATTTATACGGGGCATCACTCTAATATCTAAGGGAGTCACTTTGGTGTATTGGAGCATAACTCCTAGGAGCATCACTTCGGTATTTAGGGGCATCACTAATTTATAGGGGACAGTATGCATCACTCATATGTATATCATCTCTCTTGCATATAAGGGCATCATTTTGATATTTAGGGGCTTTGCTCAAAAAGGGTATCCCTCTGATGTTAGATAGGCATGACTCTGATATCTAGGGGTTACCACTCAAAAAGGGTATCACTCTGGTATCAAATAGCACCACTTTTATATGTAGGGGCATCACTCAAAAAGGGTATAATTCTAATATCAAATAGGCATCACTTTTATATTTAGGGGGCATCACTCTTTCGATCAAGGGCATCACTTTAATGTATAGG